TGGCCTGGCCGTGGCCCCCTTGGAAGGGTAGGCACTTAAGGAATCGGCTAGATTAATTACGCATATATCTTGCTGCTTGAGTGCCTTGACCTAAATGCTACTTACAATGCGCTAATTAGAAATGGAGAGGAATCAACCATACACACACACACACACACACATTTATGCGCACTGGGCAAGGGAGAGGTGAACAGGGCTTGTATTTACATTTTAAATTGAAAACGCAACTACAAACCGTCCATGGCAACATCACCATAAACGTAATGTGTTTTTTATGGTTTGTCATAGAAATCTACAAGATCATAATTTATGCAACACCCGCTGGCCGCACGGCCCCAATGAACTTGAATTTATGGCCAGGCCAGGCCGAGCCAAGCCAAGATGGAACCGAAGTCGTCGCAGCGTTAAGGTGATAATATAAAAGAAAAAAAAAACATAAACTGCAAGACGGCCAAAAGGGTTCTGGTGGCGGAAGGGCGGCAGCAGTTGATTGCGTCTGCCTGGAGGCAAAAACGTCAGCCGAGTGGCCAGAGCCAAAGGAGCGCCAAGAGCAGCAGCAGCACAGACCGAGGCAAATAAATTGCAGCTGCTCGGCCAGGGCGATGAAATACAAATAGAAATACTTGGCAGCTACCGTTGACGTTGCACGTTGCACGTTGCACGTTGCGCGTTGCACGTTGAGTCTGGCTGCGGATGAAGTTGCCAGAGAGCATCGTGCACTTCACATGTCCTTTAGCTTGTTTGTCTTTCACTCTGACGCTCCTCTGCAGCGGGCTGAAGTGAAGTTGTTTGGCCAGACGACGCGCCACGCCACGCAGAGAAACGTCTTGCCAACCTCTATCCGACCATTCGAGCATTCGAGCATGGAACCCAAACGAGCTTGCGAATCATGACCATTTGGGCATAAAAATTACCTTGCCTCGCCCTGTCTCGCCATGTAGTTGGCTTGTCTTCTTGTTGTTGACCTTCTATGGCCTGCGAGAGTTACCTGGCTGCGAGCTGACTTTGGCAGTGCGATTTAATCAGTTGCAAGCACATCTTTCCATCATGAATCTGGCCGCTGCAATGGCTCTTGACTTTTGGGTTAGCCAACTCGTCTGTCTGGGCACGACTTACACAAACGCTGCCCGGCCCGAATCAAATGTGAACAAATTGAATTCGCTTGAGTTATGATGCCCCTTGCTAAAGACATTAGCATGTGACTGGCTCTGGTCCCGTGGCCGGCATCAAATTGGCAGCACATAAAAAGTTTCTGACGGGCAGAGACACAGCGTAGAGGCAGATGGGGTAATCATTTGATAGTCAAAGACGCAACCCTTGCCGGAAGCCAACGCACACCCCAAACGGCCCTAAATCAGCATCAGCTTCAGCTCAGTGGCCACCAATGTCATCATCAGCCGCGGGCCGAGACGCCGAGCTCGGCCCAGACAAAAACTCGTACATACATTGATAATAATAAAAATGTCTGTCGTCTGGCTCAAAGTGGGAGTCGGACTCTGGCTCTGTCTGTGGCCTAGTCTTCCGTCTGCGTTTAATGCACAACATATTCATGTGTCAAAAGACAATTTCGGATTTATGGCCTGCGAAATCCCCAGGCTGTTGTCCGACTACGACGACGACGACGACAAAGTGACGCATTGTGGGCGGGCGAATGGAGTCCGTTGCATTAGCATAGAGAAAAAATATGTTAAGAAAACATAAAATGATATCCACTAGCTATGCCAGCTAGGCGAGACATACATTCAGACATACATTTAAATCCCGCTCAGCTTTTTGGTTTGCATAAATTAGGGCTGAAAAAGGGGTTTGGATCGGTGCTGGGCCGGCCGCAATGGGTGAGATACATCGGCCTGGCGTATTTGGGGCGCAAAAATTGCCATTTTTATTCCATTTTTCGTCCATTTTTTTTTCCCAGTTTGGCACATAGAAAGTTTTGGCTTATGCGTCTGTTCTGGTATTTTAGGGTTGTAATTGAAATTAAATAGATGTCGTGCCATGAATTCAAATCGCTTTCTGGCAAATTCGCTGCATAGCAATGGGAAGAGGTTTTAAAGAGTTAAAGAAGCAAAATTATATGTGCAAATATTTGTAAGGCTTTGCTGTAAGAATGGTCTTAAATATCTTAAATATCTTAGAGCTTAGAGCTTAGATTAGCGCCATAAAATAACCTCGAACAACATTCGATTTAAACAAATTGAGATGTTGATCCTCTTACTCTTTATCTTAATAGACAATATAGGTTTTAAGGCAAACATGGCTTGTGGAGTAATGTGTTCTTATATGTATATAATTATTTTAGGCAACAATGCAAATATTGAAGAAACCTGAATAAAGGTTTGCCTCATAGAAGTGAAGATCAAGATCAAACTTTCTTAAATTCTTTTGAGTGCACCAAAGACAATAAAAACACTTTGGCATTCGTTCGGCTGAAAGGCCAGATGAAAGGCCAGGCTAGAAATTTGGAGTCACATTCAAATGTATGGTCGTTACTCATCTTAGTGTTTATATTGTCTTTGTCTGAACTATATGAGATAATTGATTCTTAAAGTTCTCGACACACTCTAGGCTGTCTTGGACTCAGCTACTCAGTTTCCTTTGAAGCCATCCTCCTTGGTTGCCGCTTTTGCATTTTACTTTATCAGCAACTTGCCACACATAACTCCTATCTGTTATCGCTGTGCTCCGTTCGGGTTTGCCTCCGCTTTTCTTTTACATTATGCCATTTTCCACTTGTAGCAATTTGTAGCTCTTTAAGCATATTTTCACAGCTTCTCTTACACTTTTGGGGTAACTTTTACTTTTTGGGGCAACTCCGCGCGTATTTATGTCAGCGTCCAAGCTGAAGGTGGCTGGATAAAGAAAATCGATTTTCTCCCAGGTGACAGGCGGAAACGGAAAACAGAGAGAAAAGCTCAGTTATTGGATATTGTGTAGGAGGGTGGGGCGTCGACTTCGACTTCATTTGTCGAGCAATCAGCTCTAATTAGCGCCAGGCACTTGAGATGCAAAGCAGTTTGCTGCAGGGGAGGAGTTGGAGTTGGAGGGGTGGGGGCTGAATAATTTGCTATTATTTGTCCATAATTGGGGTGCGTGGGGTCGCAAAAGTTTTGATGTCTGTGGAATTTTAATTGTGAATGTTTCAGCCGACGCAACTTTTTATGGGGCAACTGCTTGACTTGCTTCGCCTTTAAGCAATAATGTTGTAATGTTTTTTTTTTGTTGTCTCGATTAAATGAACTGCTCTTCCAGCTCAGAAGTCTGAGCCCCATTAACCCTTTCGAAGCTATCACAACTTCTCTGTCTACCTTGGTTCATTATGCGACAGTATTCATATCTGCAAAGCGACATATTCCTTCACCCCCGCCCTGTTACCACAGAGCGTGGTCCACCAGCAGCCGCTTTCACTAATTACATTTTCAAAGTGCAAACGAAGCGTATGACGAACGGGTGGAGGGAAGGGGAGTAGAAACGGGAACGGGAACGGGAGTAGCCTGGTCTGGGTTCGCTCCACTAATTAGTACGACATACACACACACATGCATATAAATGCATGTGTATAGTCGGTGGACGAATAAGTGGCATAAATTAAAATAAAATGCATAAGTATTAAATGTAACTGCGACGTCAACGTCGGCTGCGACTGCGACTGCGATAATAATCTAAAATAAACCGCAGCGGCTAGCCCCATGAGCACACTGAGGCATGCAACATATGCGCAGCAACAGCAGCAACAGCAACAGCAGCAACAAAGCAACAACATCAACATTAATTAAGCATAAACATTTAACCTGCCCCCGGGACACGCCTCCGCACAGCGTCGCGTGTCCGTGAGTCAAGTAAGGGTCCACTTTGTGTTTTGTTCAAGTCGCATTTTATAATTTTGATTGATTTATTGAGCCCACGCCAGAGCGGCAACTAGCAAGTGGCAAGTGGCAAGTGGCAAGGGGCAAGTGGCAAGTGTAGCCAGAGCAGGTATCGAGCAAGGCGCCAGCTGTAGGCCGATCCCCAGGAGAGCGACTCGTATATATTTCTAAATGTAATTTAATTAAATGCATTGCGAGGCGACGGGCCAGCGAGCAGCGATCCCCACACCTGTCATAACTATCCGATACACGTATCTGATATGTAGATAAAAAGATAGCCAGGTGTTTTTTTAGGGTAGATATTCGTAGGAAAGCTTTACAAGTAGTTTGTTTTGGATTAGCTAACGTGTATGTGGGTTAAATTGGTGCTGTTCAGGTAGTTGAGCTGTTAAGATTTCATTTAAGTTTAAATCAATGGCAAAAGAAATATAAATATAAAGGAATATAAATATAAAGTTGTGCTTTAAGCAATAATATAGCTGCTCAAAATCGGGAGACCTTTTGCTACTACGACTAAGTACATAAAGATATATCGGGTTTTGTATCATGTATCAGATATGTGTTGGGAATAACACTCAGATTGGGTTAATCATACATAATAATGGAATAATCAGCTCGACTTATAAGCAGGACTCTGAGAATTATCAGGAGTAAGACACAACCTCAGTCAAGCATTGTTGATGTCGCGATTTAAAAGTTGAATAACACTTTTTAAAATTGCCCTTCAAGTTTGAACTCTTTTTGCTTGCGCAACTTGTTTGTCGATTTTGATTGATTTTGGGTGGTTGCAACAAGAAATTGTCTGGCATTGGAAGCTGTTGCTGGGGCTCGGCTATTTAACTCCTTCAATATGTCACCGAAATGTCTAAGTGGACAGATAATGCAGGATCTAGTGGCAGCCAACAGCCGGCTGCTTGGCCATGGCCATTGCTCGAAGAAAATCAATTTGACAAAGTAAAGAAAACTGTTATCCCTGGTGATTGATTATGCAGTCGACTCAAGTGACTGGCCAAAAGTTGGTCGGCTTCGATTGGGTCACCAGGCGTATCATTAATTTCCAGTGCGGCGGGTTGGACGCCATGTTAGCAGCCGTTACGGACATGCATCTTAAGTCTTTTTGCTTTCGCTTCATTGCAGGCGTCTCCGCGGAGCTCTACTATGTGCGGGAGGGAGCCATCAATGACTACGCGCTGAACTTTGCGGTGCCGGTGCCGGCGAACATTAGCGATGTTACGTTTACCTGGCAGTCGCTGGTGGAGCATCCGCTGCCCTACAGCATCAATGTGGCCACCTCGGATGTGGGTGTGCTGCCACGGCCGATGCTGAACATCTCGCGCATTGGCGATGTGCCCCAGGAGCCACAGACATGGGGCGTCAGCCTCAAGTGCTCGGGCACGCGAGCAGCGGAGGTGACCGTTACCATCAGCGTAGAGGTCATACTGGACCGGGCGACCAACAACAATACGAATCTCATCTTTAAACGTAAGAAAATTTGCTTGAAGGACGAGCCAAACGACGCACGGGAGGAATACGATGACGAGGAACCGCTGCATCCGGACCTGACTGGTCACGACGATATTCACTACACGGAACACAATGAAGACACCGCAGAGCATGTCATATCCGACGGCCACGTGCCTTCGAATGTCGACCATGGCAAGGCGACCGAAAATCACCGTGTGCTGGTTACCGAGCAGCCAACCGTTATTGTGGGACGAGGTGCTGCTGGGGCAGGCTCGAACAATGAGTACGATCCACTTTTGCGGGAAACTCTCGTACCGCCCACCAGCGGGCTGATCACCCTGATAGTTGGCGGCATTTTGGCATTGGTGCTCGTGTCGACCCTTATTTTGATAGCCTACTGCGCAAAGGGGCCTTCGAAGCGACATCCCTCGAACGGCGTGCATCTGATTAAGACGTCCAGCTTCCAGCGCTTGCCCACCATCTCCTCGACGGCACACAATTCGATCTACGTCTGTCCCTCGACGATAACACCCACATATGCGACGCTGACGCGGCCCTTTCGCGAATATGAGCATGAGCCTGAGGAGTTCAACCGCCGTCTCCAAGAGCTGACAGTCCAAAAATGTCGCGTGCGCCTCTCCTGCCTCGTCCAAGAGGGAAACTTTGGGCGCATCTATCGCGGCACTTATAACGACTGCCAGGAGGTTCTGGTCAAGACTGTGGCGCAGCATGCAAGCCAGCTACAAGTAAACCTTCTGCTGCAGGAATCCATGATGCTCTATGAGGCAACACATCCCAATGTCATGGCTGTGCTCGGCATTTCCATCGAGGACTTTGCCACTCCATTCGTGCTCTATGCCGCCACCGGCAGTGTTCGCAATCTGAAGACCTTCCTGCAGGACCCGTCGTATGCCAGAAGCGTGACCACCATTCAAACGGTGCTGATGGCCTCCCAGCTGGCCATGGCCATGGAGCACTTGCACAACCATGGAGTCATTCACAAGGATATTGCGGCCAGGAACTGTGTGTAAGTACAGCTGAGCCCCTCAACCATTAATCGTATGCCAACCCAATCTCTGGTCTGTCATCTTTGACTTGTAATTCGTCTAATCGACCACTTGTGATCCTCTGCTCTTCGTTTCCCTCAGCATTGATGATCAGTTGCGCGTGAAGTTGACCGACAGCGCCCTAAGCCGCGACCTCTTCTCCGGTGACTACAACTGCCTGGGAGATGGGGAGTACCGACCCATCAAGTGGCTGTCGCTCGAGGCACTGCAGAAGTCGCACTACAACGAGGGCAGCGACGTCTGGTCCTTTGGGGTGCTCATGTGGGAGATGTGCACGCTGGGCAAGCTGCCCTACGCCGAGATCGATCCGTATGAAATGGAGCATTATCTAAAGGACGGCTATAGACTGGCACAGCCCTTCAACTGTCCCGACGAACTGTGAGTATCAACTAGCTAGTAGAAGGCCTTCATCCCGAACTGAAAACTTAACGCTTGCCTTCCTTTTGCTCTGGTACTTGCAGCTTCACTATTATGGCCTACTGCTGGGCCTCTATGCCCGCCGAGCGGCCCTCGTTCAGCCAGCTTCAGATCTGCCTATCGGAGTTCCATACACAGATCACCAGATATGTTTAACCTGCGGTAATGAAGCACACCAAGACCTGTAAATATAACAAAAGGCGACGTCGTAAGATTTCGCAGCAAACGACGTCCGCAACTTTGTTTCCAAAGACATATTTAAAGTAAAGCGCCTAAGGGGGCGTCTAAGAAACGATAATGTGGGAGATATGGATACGAGTGAGGGCCCATTGTTGTCCCCCACAATAAATAGTTACTTACTAATTCATAATGTGGGTAGTAGTCGATACCACGATTAAGAAAAGTCGCAAAGTTGTGCACTGCTCTATAAGTATTAAGCAGTTAGGTAATTAGGATTAGGATAGGATGACATTTAAATGCAAGAAACATAGTAGTTGAACTTAAACACCAGAATACATTTTAAAGAGACACATTCACGAAAGAAAACCCAGTTAGGGATTCGCTGAGAGTCACCACATAAGCATAACATAACATTATATAGATACATAGCTAAAGACAAGACCCATAAGAAGGTATACCACTTTGGAGGAGCTCGGGCATAAATTCGACGTTAATAAACAGCAAAATAAGTATATTATCGAATATATAGAATATCTATGTAAATGTATTTATATGTGTATGTATATGTATATGTCTAAGACCGTAGTGCTAGAAAACTCGAATCTATTGTATTTAATTAATGTTAATGACTTCATGTCGAAATCCAACGGTGCACTACAGAACTTCCCCATTTAGTTCACCAGCATCCAAGATCCCGGGGACTTTCGAGTCGAGCCTACGATTTGTGTTACTTGAAAGTTTTGTAATATACTTAAGCATTTCGCATTAGTTTTATGTTCCCCTTTATGAGTTTTATTCTTAAGAATAACGAATGAAAACGATTTCAATAAACGTCCGTGCATGAAATTCAAAACCAAAGAAATGCATTCACGAATTGCCTCCGTCTGCAAAGGGGAAATGGAAAATGGAAAATGGGAAATGGAACGACAGTTAAGTAAAATATTCTTGTGTAAGTATATCGCTAACAATTGAGCCCCAGCCACGCCCAACACTTACCCTAAAACAACTTGTGCTAAGAGCAATGCGTTGTTTTGGGCTTACCGTGCGGAGGCGACGCTGCCACAACGAAGGGGGCTGGGTTAACCACCTGCAGCCCGCACACTCGCACACAAACACAGCAACACATATACATATACGAGAACGAGCCAATCTCTTTGCCAGCCCAAGCGTGCTGGCTACACAAAAGGCATGTAATGCCAACTGCCTATTTGAGGAGTGGAAGCGGAGCAGGAGCTGGAGCAGGAGGTGCCTGCCCACACCTGTACGTGGAGAGCCTGTCGAGCGCGTGTAGAGCTTATGAGGTAGACGCTATTTCATGGTATGCCCTTTGATGGCCTGCACTGACACTACTTAGTTTTTGGCACGTCATGGCGCGGCTCGATGTTGCCTGTGTCCTTTTTAATATGCCTGTCACAGCGTCAGCCAGTCCAGAGACTAGTTTCGTGTCCTTCCGCCTTCCTTCTTCCTGCTTGCTGCTTTCTATTTCATTTTTTTTTGCCCTTCTTCACGCTGGCAACGTCTTTAAAAAACGCTCGGAGCACCAAGCTGCTCGGCACGTGCCCCAGCTAAGATGCGAGGCATTTAACCAAAGCCACTATCAAAATCAAAAGCTAACACAAAAGCTGTTGCAGTAAAGCCTCTGCATAACAACAAAACATAACAGTAAGATTAAAGATTACAAGCTTATACGAATATATGCTCAAACTATTTACTGTTTATTTAGGCGATGTTAGATTGATCAGCTTAACACTATTTCTACCAAGGTTGGAGTATACAAAAAGGTATATATGAAAAGGTTTCTTTTCACACCTTTGGTAGAAATAGTGTTAAGCTGTTCAAAACTTTGATTGATTTATAGAATTAATATCGACTACCGAACAGGTATTGTATTAGTTTTTTACCATAATAATTATTTACTTCCTTTCTGGTTAGTAATAGTTTAATATTTGTAAATTTTTTAATCCTTTTCTATATATATATATCACGAAAATTGCTCACGTATATCATTTTAAACCATTTCCCGCTACTGATAAATGTAACGTTTGCTAACTGCTATAAAAACATTTTTCTTTTTATCTTTATACATCCTATGGTGAATGGGAAATGAAAGGACCAATTATATAGACGCGCTATTCAGAGAGTTAAAGCTTTCCGTTTGCTGGTGCGATTATAAAGAGAAGTGAATCAAAAAGCCGAAAGGCAAACTTTGAACAGTTTCGTTTCAATCAAATTAAAGCTCTCCAGCAAATTGACAAAAGATATTAAGTTATTAAAAACAACGCGAGTCGAAACAGAATTTTTTTCGACTGGAATATTGCCATAAAAGTCACACAACTAAAACAGAAAACGGTCGGAAAGGGGGGCAGAACTCATTGAAACTTGAGCTTCACCAACACACACACACACACACACATACACACACGTAGGGCAAACGAATGGAAAATGTAGAGAGAAAAAAAGGGGCAAAATTGAAAAACAAAAGGCAACTGGGAACTTTGTTGTTGGTCAACACTCTAAGCCAAAAATCAACAAATATAAAAAATTTCACAGCACGTGAGGCAGCATTTCAATTTTTCAGTAGCTGGTGCGCGCAAAAACTTTGACAGCGTCGACCGCCCCTTCTTGCCCCTAACCACGCCCACCACACACACACACCACACTCGAAAAGCCAGCAGCAACAACAACTAGAACAACAACAACAGCCGAAAACAAAATGACGACAGGTAGTCGTCAGTCTGGAGTCGGCCCACAGTTCGCGCCGTCCCCCACGGAGCCATTGCCAGCCCTGCGGCTACCCCAGGTGATGTTTGAACTTTCAACGGATGAGCTCGACCAGTGGCGGCCGGCAGTTTATTGGGTGGGGATTGGTAGCGAAACGGGCGGCAACAACTGCAGCAACTTTTTGCCAAAGTGGGTCGCCTGGCCTCAAAATTGATTACTTTGTAGAGGGGGCGACGCACGGCGCACAACGCAGTTTCAGTTTTTTGGTTGCCATTTTGAAGCTGTTGATTATGACCACAAGGCATTAGCACAAAAATAAATATTTACCTTTGAAATTATTAAGCAAAGTTTTCTGATATCGGTGGTTAACTGTGGCGCAGGTCGCAGCCAAGTTCCTTCTCGGGGTCGGGGTCTGGTCAGGATTGTTCTAAATTGCAGGAAAGTTTGATGTTTTTCTGATTGCAAAACTAATTAAAAAGTTGACGAAACTCATTTGGAATTGCCTTAAAGAATAATTTCGTGGAAAGGGTTCAGTGATGATTTTCCTTTTTTATGGTCGTCAAGGAGCTACCCCCTAGCTAATCACATCTATTGCTCTTGGCAACTTTTCGAGCTGCGCGCCAACTTTAAGAATGCACATAATCAATGTCTAAGTATTTGACTTTAGCTGCTTATTGGACTCTCTTAAGGCGCTCGCCTTGAAACTTCGCAATTCCCAAACTAAGAAATGCCAAATGCAAAAATTGCTTTTCAATTTCTTTTCTATTTTGCAATACATAAAACACGCAGCAACAAAAAGAGCTGAGGCAAATGGGGAAAGCAGCAGGAGCAACATTAGCATACAACTTTTCTTGTTATTTTTTATGTGAAAAATTTTCAAAAACTCGCCAAGGGTTGCGGGTGCGGGTGCGTGTGGCGGTGCGGGGAGAAGCAACTAACTGCAAAGCCAAGGAAGCGGAAACGGAAAGCATACAACGCAGACAAACGGCAACAAATTCGATGGCGGCTAAGAGGAATCACGCAACTGCCATTGCCCTTTTATCTCAGCGACTCGGGATGACTCGATGAGCCAAGCACTTGCAATTGAAAGCGGCGGCGGACTAGGATTCCGAGTCGATGTCGATGTGGATGTCGCGACGAAGGCGCAAACCAGACCAGACAAAAGTGAAAACAGTCGCGTCGCGGCAAAATACATAATAATGACATGGAAGGAAATCATTTTCATTTGCAAGCCATCGCTTCATTGCTCCCCAAGCCCGGCGAGCTCAGCTCCAGCAGCTCCTCATCATTGGATGTCGCCTGGAGTTAGCTGCAACTCCGCGGTGGGCCCTTCATTTGTCGCAAAGTTTTATTGAATTACGCGGGCGTGCCTCGGATCTGCCGTGAATAGCGTTTGATGTGAGACATGCCACAGAGCGGGGCGACATCTATGCCGATAATGGGAGCTGACTTCCTTTTGGATTATCACGCCTCTGAAAATTCATTAAAACTTTTTTGTTGGTTTTTTTTTTGGAACTGACAATCGATTTGTTCCCCCCTTGCCCACTATGCCGGGCACGCATATGGAACTGTGGCACCTGCATTCATTTTTCATTTTCCACAGCCGTTTGTCGTGTTGCCGTTTTGCGCCTTTGACTCGGCTTTGACTTTTTGCCAGCTGTCATTATTCATCCAAACTGTTTTCGCTTAGCTGGCGAGCGAGTTGGCCGCCCGACTCTCCAAATTTCCCACATATGTCGCCAACTAAGGACTGGACCAAGGCCCACGTGTGATTAATTGTTGCAAGTGCTGCTGCTACTCGCACCAACTCAGCGCCGAGTGGGGAATAGCGCCGACTGCGTTATTGGCTTCGACACAAAACTTTCAAACAGCGACTCGTAAGCCACTGCCACAGTAGATTCAAGGGACAGAAGTCCGCTCGGGTTGTTTTATGGCGCAACATGCCATTCGGTCGAATAAGTATGTTAACTAAGTCGGTTTTCTGCAACCTTCAAACCAATTACGCAGTAAATATTTAATCTTATATTAAAACTTACAATAATTACACAAGTATATATTTACATTTTCCATCAAATAAAAAAATATTTTTGTTTATCGAATCTATTAGAACGTATATTCTTATTTATTTAGAAATCCAGTTCCATATCATATTGCATGCGAAAATCCCATGTTTTTGTGAAGCTTAAATTTTTTGGTAAATTTCACCCACTAGCGTGGAAAAATCGCGAATAACGTTTGCTTGAAATTTTTTTGTTTTTCGTATGATTGGAGCGTGAGTTGTTAAGTGTTATATAACATATGAAGCACAGAACTTTCAGGAAATATCCTGTCGGAGATCCCTTAGACAACCGAGAATTTTGTACCAAAACGTAGTTTCTATATTTACACGCACTTTTGAAAATTATATAATGAGTTGATAGGTTCTTCACTTCTTGAAATACGGAAGATATAAATTAAAAGGTACAAATAATTATTTAAGGAATTCATTTCCATTCGATTCCATTTGCTGAAAAGAGTGTATTTTAATTTTTTTTTTTTTTTAATTTTGTAGAATTTTTGGACTGCATCGAACACCTTCATATTGCAAAATCGATTTGTCGAATGAGCAACTCAATCATTTTCGTTTGTCAATGGAGCTGCCGTTGTTGTTATTGTTCTTGTTTGTGTTGGACTGTGCAGGAAGCTCGGAGGGCCGTACATTACAGCTGAGACATAGAATAAAAATTATGCAGACTGCTGTGGATGGTGGCCAGCGGAAGGTGGAGGGCGGACGGGTGGGCCATTGAAGCGACAAATGTGGCTATGCCACTTGCTGCCAAAATCAGCAAATGCACATACATACACAAGCTCACACACATGTGTATGCATATGTGTGTGTGTGTGTGTAGTGCAGGCAAGCTGACTTGGGTTTGCGCCGGCCTCGACTGCAGTTGCACAATTTGTCGGCTTTCATTTTTGGCTATCCGCTTGCGAGCATATCGCCAAGCTGCCATATTGCCACATTGCCGTATTGCCACTTGCCACTTGCCACTTGCTTTTATGCAACAAATCATTGGCATAATTTAAAGCTTTGCTCGATGCTCAGTGCTCAGCTCTCGTTGCCAGTTGCCAGTTGCCAGTTGCTCGCTCTTGTCTCTTGTATTATTTTTGCTGCTGCAGTATCGGGGGCATTGTGGGGTTAAGTGTGCACAGCATGCATGCCGGGCAGCCGGGCATTTAGCTCGTCTGGCAGCTGGGCTATCTGCTCCCTATGTATGATTATTGAATGTGGTCGAAGATTAATGATGCCTCCGGATTTGCCTTCGTCTCGGTGTCTGTCTGTGTCTGTGCACAATCCTGCCCCTGGCTCTTCTCCTGGATTTGGGTTTGGGTTTGGGTTTGTATCGCATCAAGTTGCACCATTTGCTATCTTCTAATATTGTCTGGATGGCAATGGTAATCCTTGTTCAACTGTGGGTCGACTGCTCCTCCTTTTCAATATGTAGTCAAGATGGTAAAATAAAGCTGATTAGCAGTAAGTGGGACCTGAACAGGAAAGCGATTTATGCACTGAGGTTGAGCACAAGTTTACAAGTTTAATACAATACGACCATCGCAAACTAGGCTACATACGAGTGTAATACAGTTTTTTTTTTAAACTTTATGCAATAAGTATCGGCCACTAAGAAATTTGTTGCTATTAAACAGCACTTACTGGAAAGCAATAACAGTTTTCCAACTATAAATGTCAGCTAGAGTTATAAGGAGTATAGCA